ACTTCTGAAGATGCAAGCCACTCGTGCTTGCGAAACGTCAGGAAGAAATTCTACCGAACGACGGCCTAAAAACCCGAAAAACCCATTAGTTTCAAGGAATGGCCTCGAAAGTCTATCTCTTTTGATAATCTGGGAAACCTTTGCAAGGCAGCTCCAATTACTCGATCGAGATTAAGGATGCAAATATCTCGTGCTAACAAAACGTCGCCAAAGAAACAATTAACCAGACGTTTAACACCTAATTAAACATTCATAGTATATGGAATGAACAACGCTCCCGCATGTTTTAAGCGAGTCGAAATTTCCACAAAGGTGTTATAAACGTTCCAAGCCTAATTAGTTGTAACCTTCTTGCAGTTGTTATCGGAATAATCCACTTTGATGCTGTTGTGTCGATAACATGTGGGTTTGACGGGTTTCCCGATCTTATATCATCCCAGCTCATTGGAAAATCCATCATTTTACATATATTTAGAATAGACAGACCGCGGAAAAAATAAACCATTCACTTCGCTTCGTGATGATTATAAACGGGCCGATAAAAAAATAACTACTAATTAGAGTGATTATCTTCTAAGCAAGCAAACTGAAGTCACGATTTGCTGGATTGAAAATAATCAAACAGCAAAAGTTAACGTAACTTTTCATATTTTTTTGGTTCAATATTTTCTCGGTTGATACATGTCTTGCATAGTCATTGTTCGCAATTCCAAGTAGCATAAACAAGGTAGCGGTGGGCGTAAATTCATCAAAACAATGCAGAATCCTTCGAAAAATTGGTCGTTCCAAGCTAATTGAATAAGCCTTTGTCATTACCGTAACATGAGCATTTGGGTTACCGCATTTTTTCCATCTGGAAAGCCACTTTTTAGCAAATAGATTAAAAGCCGAAAAGCGTACATTTTCTAAACATTTCTCAAGTTCATGGCTAAATTAAATCTGTCTTCTTAGAAGGCTATTAGTTACATCAATGATTAATTAATTTATGCTCAAATTGCTTGCAACGCATTAGTTTTGCATAACAATCCTTGAAGTCTAATGCTTCAATTAGTTTTTCCTACTTCGGACTCTGAATTCATAACAGCCTAATGACAAAAACCACAGTTTATTGAATAATACACAAAGAAATTTACCCGCATATTACTTGGGTAAAATATTCTGTTTGGAAAAGCACTTAATGGACTGATAAACTGAATCGGCAGGATTCTTCGTTTCCACCAAACATTTTTCCAATAGATCCTCCAGCTCCGATTCATCTGGAATGATCACAGCCATTTTATGGCGTATGGAATCCTTCTGAAACACGCCATCCTTGCTGATAAAGTCCAGCTTAACCCCTAGACAAAATAAGTGCTTTTTTAACTCGGGACTATCAGAGAAAGTTCCTCTTAAAGTTGCCATGATTTCCTGCTGAGTGGCGCCACTTTTCTTTTGGCATTTTGTATTTGTTTGCAGGAGTTTGCCGATGTCTTCTCGTGGCAGGCTAAACTAATGCAAAACGTTTATTTTTATCGAAAATTTGCTTGTTGTATGGAGTGATTTGGAACTATGGGACCAATAAAGAGGTGAAGAAGTTGAAGATTTTATGAGGCCAACAGATTGAAAACCTACACAGCTCAATGTTGTGTGGCTGCTTTATCAGGATGTTAAAGAACCGAATTTCTTACGTTTTATTTTATGGCCAAAGCCGGTAAAACTCGAGCAAACACACCATTGCTATAGCGATTTTGAAGCGGAAACATTACTAGACAGTCTTTCTACAGTTGTTTGATCCCAAAGTTCGAAATCACCCTCCATATGTAAAATATACATACTTGACACATTGCCACCATCACAAGCGAATACAAGAAAACTAAAGTTTTCATCGCGAAAACTATGAGGTCGCGGTAAATAGTACCAGTTGAAACTTCCATCCCGGAGTTTTTATTGAAATTGTCATTCGAAATTGCCAGCTAATTGCCCTAACAAAACTGATCTAATGCGACTTTAATGATAATTCAGGAAGTCAATATATTATACTTAGTGTTACTTATTTCTCCATTACCCTACACATGTATGTATTATCACAATACTCGCAACGCCCCATATTTCCTCTTGAAAGCCTTCTGTCTGAATAAATATTCGTTAAAATTCATCCTTGTGCAAGCTGGAGCGGTTGAAATAAATATTACGTGTTCTTTCATGGGTTTTCCAATAATTCCCGGCTTGGAAAGGAGAAAGGCAAATAAATTCGGCACAACATCCCGAAATAAAATGACTTCTTTCCAGATAAATTCTGCGACATTCATATCAGTTTTAACCGCGTTTTCATTGTTTTTTAAATTTATTTGTTTTTTGGACTAAAGAATTCATTGATCCTTGTGGAGACATTAAATAATTTCAATTTTCTCGCAGGTTAAACAAAGGTGGAAGAAAATAGTTCAAAAAATTCTGCAGCCTTTGCTGACCCAGATAGAACGAGCAGTGTTTTCAATGCATGTTATGTGCGAAAAGCCTTGACCAATTAATATTCAATATTATTTGAACAAAATCTAAAGTGGCCAAAAACAATAATTTAGATATTGAAGGTCGATGAACGCCGCAATTTGACTGTCACGGCCAATGTTTCCGCTTGAACTCTTTCATTTCTCATGTTGTTTGGCAATTAGTAGCGAATTCATCATGTACCATAGAAGACAGCACAAGATTTGGAGTGGTCTGGAGCGAAAAAAATTTGCACATTTGGCTTTGGGAGCTTCGGCTTTACCGTTAAAAAATCATCAGGGCAGGATTCCGTTTTGTAAGTTTGCGATTTTTTATTTTGCTTGCTTAATTAGGTTTCTGTTAATTGAAATTTTCGCACTTGAAGCTGAACATTTTTTTGCAATTGGCTTTTGTTTATTTGGTGCGCACAAAGAACGACTTTCTATTTAAACACTGTTTTTCTAGAAGGCTTCTAGAAAAGGCCCACTTTATTCGTTAGTTAGCGGTTTTTGCAATCCGGTTCTGGATTTGATCGGAGACCCGCTTCAAAGTCGTTCTCAAACAAATCGATCAACTTTTTATTTTTTTTTCTACTGCCCCTTTTAGATCTTGGAGATAGACGTTGATTTTGTTGTTCATGAGATGGTATTTAAGCCGATGAAGACGAATGTGAAAATCATATCTGTAATTCTCAGCTAGTAGTGATGAGATCTTTTGCGGCTTGTTGTATTTTGGTGGCTGTTCTGCAAGTGAGGGTAAGTTTTCCAAAGTTTTTCCATTACCTCTGCTTGTTTCTCTGGCGGTTTCGAAATATTAATTTTTTGTTTGTATTTTGTTTACGCAACAAGATTTAATTCGTTTTCTTTTGCCAAGTTCAGATTCATTTTTCCCATTTTTACTGCGTATTTAATCAGTAGGTGAGGCGTAAAAAAGGTGATGAATATATGAAATATGAGGGACGAAGTCTTGCCAATAATACTAAGTAAAAATCCATCAACACTATAATAGTCGGAAGATGTAAATTGTGCAAAACTGCTTCCACTCAAATGCGAAATGGTTTATTCAGAACAGTGAAAAATCAACAATATTCTACACTCATTTGAAGATTTACCTCACAGTCAAAACATTTTAATAAAGTCAATCATGGTCCAAGACGTAGTAGGGTAGTATTGAGTAAAACGAAAACTTTGAAAAGTGAAAAATATTATGGATCGGTCTTTCTGGTCTACAAAAAAACCTTCTGAAATCAATATCAAGCATTTCGTTGCTCTGTTGTGGTCATCAAAAAACCGAGCCTCAAAATCTTCCACTCTTCAAAGCTTCCTCAATCTTGATTGAAACCACCATTCCACCTTGTGCAATTTTTGCTGCTTTTTCAAGCTCGTCAATGTTTTTTTTGCCTTTTTAGGGTGCACCGCTGACTAATGACCAGAAAGCAAAACTCGATGCCTACCAGCAGGACTGCATTTCCGAATCCAAAGTCAACCAGCTCCTAATCGAAAAATCCAGAAAAGGCATCTTCAGCGATGATCCCGCATTCAAAAACTTCCTCTTCTGCTTCTCCAAGAAAGCCGGCTTCCAAGATGCCAACGGCTTAATACAAAAGGACGTTTTCGAAAGGAAAGTGAAGATTGTGGTTGATGACGAAGCTCTGGTATCCAAACTGTTGGAGCAGTGTGTTGCACAAAAAGCCACTCCCCAAGAAACCTCCTACTACCTTGCCAAGTGCTTGAGGGAAGTGGCTCCTAATATGGAACTATTCAAGGTAAAACCTCCTTAATTCCATTCTGAATTGCTAATCGCAATTTCACCTCTGCTTCGAAGGTGGCTCCCGAAGTCGTCTATGTGTCCAATGAAAAAAGCCGACAGGCTCTTCTTCAACACAAAGAATGCGCCGCTCAGGATCCTCTGGGCCAAGAAGCAATTGAAGCAGCCCGAAAACAAGGCGTTCTTTTCGAAGACGCCAAGTTCAAAGACTACATCTTTTGCTTCTCGAAGAAGAGCGGCATTCAACGCGATGATGGTTCCATTGATAAGGACCTGTTTTACAAGAAGTTCGGCGAAGTCATCGACAAACCCGCGATAGTTGATCAACTGGGCCAGAAATGTCTTCTCGAGCAGGACACGCCTGAAAATACCGCTCTGTTTGTTTCGAAATGTATTCATGAGAATTCACCAGTAAGTTTTTCCTTCTTGTCAACCTTATTTGTTAAATTACACTTTTTTTTATACAGGTATATTTGGAAATTTTCCCCCGAGACCTTCCAATTCCAGAAGAAGCTGCGAAAGAAATAATCGCCCATGGACGTGCCTGTATCAAAGAGACTGGAATCGACCGGGAAATTCTGGAAAAGTCCCGTGAAGGCATTTTCTCGGAAGATCCCATTTACAAAGAGTTCACGTTCTGCATGGGGAAACAGGCCGGGTTTATCAACGAAGCTGGCGATGTGCTGAAGGATGTTCTGAAGGAAAAGAGCTTGAAACTGTTCAATGATCCTGCTTTGGTTCAGAAACTCATTGACCAGTGCATTGTTAAGAAAGAAACTCCTCAGGAGACTTCCTACCATGCTCATGTGTGCCTGTACAAGAATTCTCCTGGACATTTAGCCCTCACCCAGGTTAGTTTTATGTTGATTTTATTCATGGTTAGCCGACATAACCATAATGGGGATTCGTTGTTCTGAAAATATTTTCGGGGGTGAATTCAGGCCAACAGTGATTTATTTCTTGGAAGTAGGAACGGGAGTTTCCCCAGAGCGAGTTTTCAGGATTTTACTTTTGTGGCCGCGCTAACCTTTTGCTCTTTGGCGTCCCCTTGGGAGAACTTGACCATTCCATCCGAGATATAACTTTATAAAGACGCGAAATGTCTCTTATTATTTTTAATGAAACGTCCTGCTCTATTATGATCGACGGGCCCTTGCGGAAAAAGCTATTAAATTGGGAAAAAGACTTTCGATTGTTCGGACTTCAAAGCTGGATGATATTGGCTTATCTCTGGGGCGGCTCTTATTTTGCTTTCTTCACGAGAATCGTCCAGAGAATGAGTGTTTGCCTTCCGACCAATAAAAGTCCAGTGGAATCGATTTAAGCCAAGCCAATAGTTTAGCGTTAAGGTAAGCATTCGGCTTCCAAATTCCACTTCAAACTCGAATCAAAATACGCTCAACTGGAAATTTGCTGTTGCGGACGGAAAAACCGACGGACCGAAAGGTGACTTGGGAAATGGAAAATGCTGTCTATGCAAACGGAATTCAGTTGCTTTATATTAAAATGTTGCCGTTGAATAGTATGGGATTTAAGCGTTCTTGACTAGAAGATGGATTATATTGCAATGTGCGCACGTTGGACGGACGGCTTCGATTTGAAAAAAATTGTACATACTTTCCTGACTGTGTTTCAAATTCAAATCAAAATTAATTCATTTTGAAAATGTATGCCAAGGCTTAAAGTAGCAGCAACGCTACACATAAAAACTGATGATGGTGGAAAAATACACCGAAACGTATTTTAATTGCTAAATAGAGACAATAAATGAGTGAACCCCAGGAATTAATTTTAATTTGGATTTGAAAAAAATACTTGATACTTTGTGAAACTGGTGAAGTTTTCGGGCTTTTGGTCTTGACAGGAAAAACTTTCTTATTGAAGTTTCGGTGTTTCTGAGGTCTCCCCAAACGGCCGAAAAACCAACCAAACTGTGTTTTCAAGCATTGAAGCTTATACATTTCAAACATTTTCAAAATGATAAAGCAGGCGAAATAAAATTGCCTTTCAATGGATTCTTATCCAGAAGATCCATAATATTAGTTCTAGTTCATTGCGCCGATCATTATTTATCCGTTTGAAAAGCGTAACTACCAATTGACGTTTTTTGCAGTTCGGAGCCATTTCGCAGGAAAAAAAGGAGAAAAAAGTCCAAATCATAAAAGAATGCGCTGAAGAAAGCGGCGTATCCCGAAGCGCTGTTTTAAGTGCCCGTAAAGGAGATTTCCAAGACGAACCATTACTGAAACAATACTTTTTCTGCATCAACAAAAAATCCCAGATTCAGAACGAGGCAGGTGAATACAAGACTGACGTTATCCGGAAGGGCTTAACTGAGCTTTTCAATGCGGAGGAGGCCAATAGGATTATCGAGAAATGTGCTCGGATTCAGGACAGTGCCTTGAACACAGCTTTCCAGAGTTTTAAGTGCTTTTACAATGAAGCTCCGGAGATTACTGGTGTTTTCTAATGCCCCCTCGACCTCGGGTTTTATAGATTTTAATTTATTTTATTTAATAAATGATAAGCTTCTATTCTAAGTAAGCGCTTTTATTAATAAACACTCTCCATTCCTTTCAATATATTTACTATCTACGTTTATACGGCTTTCATTACATTGAGCCTAAAAAACCATCCGCTTACAATAGATTGATTTTGGCGTTTGTATACAAACATTTGAACGCATTAAAGGCTTGCAATTTGGGGTCTTTATTGGCAACGACGCAGGTTTCGATCAGCTTCGCATTTTTCGCATTGTCTCCAGGAATGGTCTCTTTCAGCTTCTTCTCAATCACATCCCGACGGAACTTTCCATCGGTGCCTTGGAATCCAATTTTTTCAGAAATGCATTTAATGTGCGTCTTTAAGTTGGGGTCGTTAGCAAAGTCACCAGCACGCGCTTTTTGTAGAACTGCTTGATCCACTTTGGAGATCGCAACGCATTGATTATAGTGTTGCGTCAGCAGTTCTTTTTGCTTGTCTGTCAGTGAATTTACCTAGTTTAAGAAAATCTGAGCATTAGTTTGAGTAACTCAACGAGTGGAACAAGGTAGAACAGTTAATGCATCCGCTAGAAAGGGACGCCTGCGGTGGCGCGGTCGATGTTTCGTTTCTTTCTACTACACCCGTTTGCAGAGCTGCCTTTTTCCTCTCATGCTATCAGCCCTGTGCTGTTTTATCAGAGAGACAGGACAATGGGAAGTTATTTAGGGAAAATAAAGCGCTATTCAGCACCCTTCTGCCGGAATTTGAGGCAAAGTTTTGAACTATTTCGCTTTGAAGCTTTTCAACCAGAACAACCAGTATGGCTGATAACAGAGTAATTAACTAGAGAAAAATGAGGTGAAAATTCTGCTTATAAATTGCCAAAATTGAAAAGTTTTACTCTGCAAAAATTAAATTACCGTCTATCTTGCTCAAGATTCAAATACCATCTATTTTCGTCCGAGAAGAATATGAATTAATAATAGAATTTGAGAATCCGGGATTTAAACCGGGAAAATAAATTAGCCGGCAGGGAGCTTGAGGGAAATTGACGTTGCCAGCTCGAGCTGATTAAGAGCCTTGGCAAGAATAAATATTAATGGCTTTCCAACGATATCAAAGAAAATGTTCAATATTAATTAGGCTGTGCAATGCCCAAAAAATATTTACTTGAAAATAGGCGCAGAGCTTCAACTGAACAATCTTGGAAAATTCCAACTAATATAAATAGAAAAACCAAACGTACCTGCACTAGAGCGATAACTAAAACTGCGGCAAATAGAAGCTGCATTATGGCTTTGGAGGATTTGGGCTCTGGATCAACTTAAAACCACAATGAAACTGTGTGCAGAGACCCGGTTTGAACCCTCTTTATACAGTCTCACCTCAATTAGATAATGAGCCTTTTGCACTGCTGTAAACAGGTTACGTTCATTGAATTTAAAAGACATAAAAACGTCCAGTGACGGGTCAAAACCAGTTTTTTTCAAGGGAAGAGCTTTATTATTCTTTATACTCTCAGATCCCGTAAAACCCCCAGTTTCGCTCCTTTAAGAAAAACCTATTCCTGCCTAATTTCCTGCGAATTTATTGCAATTTTGGTGGATACAATTCATGAACGATTAATGCAAAAAGTGCTTCAAAGTCCTTCACACAATTTATTGAACTCGGATGAAGAAAGTATACAGAAGCAAACAAGGACGAATAGAGAAGAGACAGACGCGAATAGAAGTAATTGGAGAGATTAAGAAAAAATGCCACTTTTCTGACTGTGAACATGTCGCAAAAGAAGCAAAGGCAATTTGCCTAAAAGAATCACAGTCAAACCCCGAAAATTGGTGATTTTTTATGTGGTTTAATGGTATTAAAAATATATTGCTTTGCCGTCACTGTTCGGCCATTCAGTTCAAGGTGCACATTAAAATCTGCATGTGACCATACGGGGGCTTTAAATGTAGATACTTCTTGAACAAATGCGACGGTTAACAATAAAAGCTCTTTTTATTGGTTTGTTTACCAAAATCCACATCTTCCAAGTGCCGACAGAGTCAATTGTGCACTTTTTCGTATGCCAATGGAAAAATAATAAATCTTCTTGTTTTCCGCTGCATATTCTCTTCCTGCTGTGATATTTATAATGTTGGTTGCGTCGAGATTATTTTCATTTTGTCCGCTTCTATTTGATCAATTCAATGAAATGCTTTCAGGTTGCGTTTTTTGCTTGTTAAATATTTAATTCGCTCGAAGCGATGTGAGCAGAACAAGCAAAAAATAGTCGCTTCCGAAGTAATTTCTCTTGTTTTTGAACATGAAATATGGATCTGTGAATGGAATATTGAGACTAAATAAATAAACCAATCGACGTTTTATTTGGGGCAACAGATTTAATAGTGAAAGGATGTTTTGTTTAAAAGTAGTTACATACTGAAGAAGAATCGAACAGTTTACAATAAACCCGCATTTTTTACTTCGTCAAATCATGCCGGGTGTAATAGAAATAGAAACTGCATCAGCTTAGAATACTGCGATATGAGTTGGGGTGTTTTCATAGTAGCACTTGAAGGACTGGATGGCGGTCTCTTCGCCGCTTCCTTTGGAAACTAAGCATTTTTCAACCAGTTTTTTGGCAGCCTCGTTATCCCCAATGGCAGATCCCAACTTCTGCTGCACCACATCGCTTTGGATTTCGCCAGCTTCATTTTGGAAGCCGATTTTCTTCGACATGCATAACGCAAAATCCTTCAACTTGGCATCGTCAGCGAATTTTCCTTGACGAGCTGCTTTGATCAGTTCCGGATCTGCTCCAGTATCAGCTACGCATGCTTTTCCATTGGCCACGATCTTCTGCTTTTGTTCCTCGGTCAAATCAGCCTGAAATATGTTGGAAGAAACGCCATGAAATCTGACAAAGTTCACGCGTGTAAACACTGTGCACTTGAAAACAAATAATGGTGCAACGCTCGTAAATTTCATCCGTAACAATGCAATAAATTCCCATAGATCTTAAGCCGTTTCATCCATTCGTTTAAATGATTTCGGCAATAACTGGGAGGAAAACGTCCATCGTTACTGTTGAGCATTGTTTGAGGCAAACAAAGAGCAATTTGTTTCAAGGATTGTTGTGCGACTTTGAGATATGATTTTCTGGCTAGTCAGCCTGAAGTTTCCGAGTTAAAACTGCCAAAGGACAAAGTGAATTGCACAGAATAAACACATAAAATGGACGCAAATTTTGCATAAAAAGAGCACAAATTCAGAGGATATTTAGTTAAATTCCCGATGAGCTTTGCAGTTGCAGCTGATTCTGGCCTTGGAAGTCTCATTGCTACAATCAGATTTAAGAGTCCTATACATGGATGAATCATGATAATTATCCTAGAATTAATTGCCTACTTATGTAACGCGCGTTATTCTAGTATTTAATTGATTGTTTAATTGAGCTTTGATAGTAGTGAATGGCGAACGTTAATTAAACTGTTGCTTATTGCAGCTTTTTCATTCAAAATGAATCAAATGATTATTTCCACTTGTTGGACTCAGCCCCAGGAAATCAACCAGCTTAACCATTTCTCTATTAGCAATTTATTTTCATTTTTGTTATCACAGTGTTTTTAGTTTTTCTTAGCTGCACAAGGACCAAAAGACCCAAATCCAAGAAAAAAATATTAACTTACATTGACTGCAAAGACAACCCCGAGCACTACAAAGGCAACAATGAAAACTTTCATTTCAAATTATTTTTTTACTTCGAAAAATCAGTTAGTAAACTTGCAGTTGTAGAGTGTTCAACCAGAGTGACTTGTTTTCTGATAAAAATATCTCCTTTATATACACTGTGAAGCGATATTCCCACCTATTGGGAGCAACAACATAAATATTGCAAAAAAAATCGAAACCTTGATCACTTCAGCTGATTTATCGTTTACCTTCTTCAAGAGCCGCTCAATGGACTTTGGCCCAAGGATTTGCCAGTTGGTTACTTCAAAAAGTTTATCTTTCTTATGTAACCGGGATTTTAAGCTGCGGCTAATTGCCTTAGTTGAGTGCAAAAAATTGACGAGTTTTTTTTGCGAAGACAAACGAATGATGACGGGTAATTAAGTAATGATTGTTTACTTTAAAGGGTGTGTTTGTGTGCAAAAACATGTTTAAGTTAATAAATGCTTTTTGGGCAGTTGCTTGAAACTGATGAATAACTTCTCCAGTGAAGAAGCTAGCCACTCGTGCTGGGGAAAAGTCACGAAGAACTTTGACGACGGCCTAAAAGCCCGAAGACTTTAACAATCAACAAGGAATTTTCGCAAATTTTGTTGATTTTGAAGACGAATAAATAATAGTAAAAGAAAATTACTTACACTTGCGAAAACCACAACTGTGGCCACAGTCAAAGTAACAAACATGGCTTTCATTTTGATGGACTTTGTCGGTTACTGTTATTATTGAGCACTTGATGAAGTCTGTTACTTTTGGGTAGTAAGTTTTGCGCTTTTATACTATTCCTGAATTTGTTATGCACCGCAGATTTTCATACCCCACCACTTGAAAATCAGAACTCGAATGCACCTTGAACATCGAATGGTAATTTCCCTGGGCTTCGTTTAGGGACTTTAAACCTTGGGATCGTCGTTTTCTTCAAAGATTCTCCATTGGGTGCACGCTTCAATTCATAAACTGTTTTTGGTACATTAAGTCACTACATTTTTTGCATATGGATTGTGTTTAGCTAACAGGAGATGAGCAGGAACAAAACATATATTTTTTAAAACGACAAAGAGAAGGATTAAAGAAAATTTGGAGATTAAGATTAAGGAAAAGTAAAAGATTTTCATTTGATGTTTTATCCGCCCATGGCAGCTGAATCCCTAGAAGAAAACCGGACTTTTCCAAAAAAATATGAAGGTTCTGCGTAGATTTGCAGCCAGTAATTTTTTCTAATGGTGACCCAAATTGATTGAATTAAAAATTTCCCATATTTGACTACAACAAAATAATTAAGCCGACTTCCTGATGACGAAAATAGACGAGCTGAGTACAGACCGATTAATATCGCTCATAACAGCACAAACTGTGAAAAACAGGTTGTTATTTACAATAAGTCGAGCTAAGAGGAGATGAGCAGGTACAAAATATATATTTTTTAAATTTTTGTCGATGAAACATGCCACCGAAAGAACGACAAGAAGAAGGATTAAAGAAAATTTGGAGACTAAGATTAAGGAAAAGTAAAATATTTTCATTTGATGTTTTATCCGCCCATGGCAGCTGAATCCCTAGAAGAAAACCGGACTTTTCCAAAAAAATATGAAGGTTCTGCGGAGATTTGCAGCCAGTCATTTTTTCTAATGGTGAACCAAATTGATTGAATTAAAAATTTCCCACATTTGACTACAACAAAATAATTAAGCCGACTTCCTGATGACGAAAATAGACGAGCTGAGTACAGACCGATTAATATCGCCCATAACAGCACAAACTGTGAAAAACAGGTTGTTATTTACAATAAGTCGAACTAAGAGGAGATGAGCAGGTACAAAATATATATTTTTTAAATTTTTCTCGATGAAACATGCCACCGAAAGAACGACAAGAAGAAGGATTAAAGAAAATTTGGACATTAAGATTAAGGAAAAGTAAAAGATTTTCATTTGATGTTTTATCCGCCCATGGCAGCTGAATCCCTAGAAGAAAAC